GTTTAGGGCTACTCCATCTTACTTCCTACCTCCATGGTGTCTCAAGACAAGTAATATAGCTGCCGGAGGGTGTTCCGCCTCGGGCAGCATTGTTTGTGCGAAACATCATTTATAGCGATCAGGCGAAGAATAATTAGCTTTTAAATTGCCATACTATTGCGAAGAAAAAGAATTTTACTCTAGATAATGTTGTAACGCAAATATTATCAAAAATACCAAAAAATCAGAACTACGCCGAGGCTACCCGTCAACGGTTGTTCTGCACAGGTTCTTAATATACGTGTATAAACCTTAATAATAATTAGACACAGTGAGTCTACTATTAGATTATCTGTTTACAATTTCAATATTTATAGAAAAGAAATAAATCTTATCTACTTGAATTCTGCACATGCTTCTTCGAATAAACACTTTAATACTCGACATCAGCATTTTCACAGTTTCTTTGAAGTAAAGCAGGAACTAGGATATTATTCAATGAACAGAACACAAATACAATATAATAATTCAATTCATATCAACATTAAATTCATAGAACACTTCTATTACTAAGCAAACACGGATCAGAACGTGCATGGCAACACCGAAAACTGATGCCATCCACAAAAACTCGCGTCATTAAAACATTAATACATTAAAAGTCTTGTGTTCATTCAATAAAGTTATTCATAAAACAGTCTCGTGGATATCTTCCGAAGTTTATTGACGGCATTACGTAACAAATGTATTCAAAGAGTCACCACGTAATTTCATACGTTGTACCTTTTTATTCCGTCGAAACTTTAGAGCGCCAGTTTCGAATATCAACTAAATTAAGATCACGATGACATTAATAAGGAAGAATTCTTCGTTAAGAGAGAGACATATTTTGGGTTTTATTTCCATTATTGGTAGGGAAACCGAAACGAAGGGCGGTCTTTTTGAATTTTTTGCAATTTATTCTTTAATACAATTTTCAGAACAAAATTCCAAATATTGTAATACTAGAGCAAGCTTTCCTTTCAGTTGCTAAGTGTTGCTAGCCGTGAAAAGCTTTTGCTAAATATTCATTTCAGAGCTACAAGTGTATATTTTTTATTAAAGAAATCTTTCACTACTGTCGACATAACAGCAAGAGCAGTCAAATAGATCTCCAGAATATCATGGATGGTTTTGCGAATAAAAAAACAAGCAAATTAATTATATAATTCTAAAATGCTATAATTAAACTTTGTTTCCAGAAATAAAAGTAGTTTTATTTCCCAAACATGTCATTTTGACATTTTTAACAGGCGTTTGTTTCTATATGGAGAGCTTCGCAAATTCTGGGATGGCCCAGAGCGGCAAATGGTCTGTAAGTTCTACGCCACTGGCTCTAAGAGCATCTGTTAAAAGTACAATGTCCTGGGATATGTGAAGTTGTTGATTTTTAGATGTCTTCAATTCCTATTAGGAAATTCTGGAACAAAAGTCGAATTACGTCCCGTGATGACTTTTGCCTGCCCTATACGTGCGTTTTCTTTGCAGGCAAATAGGAAGGTTCTTCAAACTGCACAAAACTCTCTGTTAGACAGATTTCAAACAGTCCTTGGCATGCCCGGATCAATAAAATATACGAAGAGCTTAATATCCTGCAATTACATATCGATTATATTAAGAAGCTCAGAGAGAGAGCCAAAATAGCATTAATTCAATTTACAACAAGTTCCTTTACAACATTAAGCTACGTATGGCTATTCTGTATAATCAGCTTTAAAGTGTGTTATATAAATATATATTTCATTGCTTAAATTGTATTTTTCTGCATTATTTTTGTATTATTATTCTCCACTGTAAAACACACTTACATCAGAGGCTCCCAAAGGGGTCGTTACTGAGCCTGAAATTTTTAAGGGGATCAAAAAGTCAACTGCAATGTCGATAGCCGGCAGTGGTTCAGTATAATCAAAACCCATTAATTACAAAAAATTGTGATAAAAGTGGATAATTAAATGTTTATTGATATCATGTAGTAAGGAAGAAATCATGTAAAATAAATATAATAAAAACAATATACTGAAATTATTTAATATATTTAAAAATAATTAACATTCTTAAAAATATTTTAAAATAGTAAACTTCACCATACTTTAATATTTTTTTAAATGTGCACATTTTTATACAATAATTGCAATATAAGAAAGTAAGATGAAAACATACCTAAAAAAAATCTGATGTGTACACCCCATGACTTCCTTGTACGGAATATTAAATTATATGCATTTTTTCTTGCATTTCATTTAGACTTATTGGATTGAATTAAATCTAATTCGCCGATAGCGCATAAACCACAATAGAATAAATGCATTCTTTAAAATTCACTCTAGTATTTGTTTACCATAGCGACACTCTGGCGCTAGATTCACTTACAGTATTATATTTCGTTCATATTATAACTCATAATGCACAAAATTTATATCATTTAAAGAATAGAATTATCTAATCGTTGCCACATGTCTATTCAAATACTATAATAAAGCTAGATTGATATATAAAAGAAATTAAGCAAACAAAACAAAAAGAAACAGTTTTTCACAGACGATTGAGTATTTCTCATTCAATTAATCAGTTCTCACTTCGCGAGAAGGCAAAAAAATACATAAAAAACTCAAAATATCTATATTAAAAATTACGAAGAAATCTTAAACACTTATTTCCTCGAAAAAATTTCGGAAAGGATTAAGCATGATTTAATTGGCAATAATAAATGAAGGCGTTATCTTTGTTGTCGCGAAGCTAAGTTTCTCTAGATTGGCAACAATTCCACTAGTCTGCTGTTTCACATGTAAACAATCAATGGCCGCCATCAAGAGAAGTATTAGGCTTAGCGGCACTTAAACAACTTTAAAATTGTTGATAATTCTAAAAATATTACATACAGATTTACTAAAGGCATAAAAACCTTAACCGGAAGATAAAAACAACATAATTCAATCATTTTTAAAGCAAAAAATGCACAATTTACAAACATATAAGAATAAAGAAACTGAGATCACTGAGCCGAGTAACAGAGTGGATATATATATATATATATATATATACTTTTGGTACGGCCGATTGCAACCAAAATACGAAGTGGACATCTACATGTTATAGCAGTCCTATATACAAAATTTCAGCGTTCTGAGGCTACTCGTTTTTGAGTTATGCGAGATACGTACGTACGTGCATACGTTCCTACAGACACCAGGAAAAATTCTCTTCAGAATTAATTTTAAGCAGTTTTATAATTTTTTTTTTGGAGGAAACGAGTTTTTTATTCTGTCCTTACGTACAGATATCACACAAAAACATCGTTAAATTGCATTCGATAGCGGTCAAAATGGATATTTTCGTTGAAATATGCTGCCTGAAACTTTTCGCGATTATAATACTTCCTTTTTACTTCGTACAAGGAAGTAAAAATACGGAGAATTTAAAACTACAATGAAAAGCAAGCACCAGGTTGCATATTCTTAAAACACGTGATTTAAATTATTGTGACAAAAATTTAAATTAAGCAGTTCTAAGCTAAATATTAAAAAAATACTAAATCGTCTGTGAAAAACTTTTTTTTTTTTTTTTCGTGTGTGTGTGTTTGTTTAATTTCTTTTATATATCGTTTTAGATTTATTATAATACTTGAATAGAACATGTGGCAAATATTAGATAATTCTTCAGATGATATAAATTTTGTGCATTCTGAGTAATAAAATGACTGTAATAGTTCGGTAATTAAAATATCTAAGTTCTAAGTTATAAAATGAATGAAATGTAATGCTGTTAAGTGAACTTAGCACCAGAGTGTCACTATGGTAAACAAGTATAGTAAATTTTAAAGAGTGCATTTATTCTATTGTGGTTTATGCGATATCGACGAAATAGATTTAATTCAATCCAATAAATTTTAAATGAAATGCAAGAATAAATGCGTATAATTCAATCTTCCCCTTAGAAGGAAGTCATGTGTCACATCAGATTTTTTTATTTAACTTACTTGATTCCTTCTTTCTCATTTCAAAATTTAGGCTCAATCCAAATAAAATTCATACATTTTTTATGATTTGTTCTTAAAATTTATATATTTAGTAATGTTTATAAATTTTTCGAAAAAAAAATTGAATGATAACCTGTGAAAGTTTTACCATCCTTTTGAAATAGATATATTTCTAAGCATAAATGCAGAAATTTAGAGTTTTTTTATTCAACATTTCCCAAGATATACGTGAATTTATACATTGGCGAGTTTTGAAATTCGGCATATTCGTTATAAACGATAACAACATCAAATGTGGTTTACGCACTTTGTTAAAAGTACTTGAAAGAATGAACGATGCACCTTTTTTGTCCGCTTAGGTACAATGAAAGGGAAAGGAAAATAATTTACCAAAAATTAAGAATTTCGCTAAGCGAATTATTCTTGGCGCAAGCTGAAAAAAGAGCGCCAAGGTAAGTTTTTAAATTTCTCGGTAATTTTCTTCTCAGATTTTACAAAATTTAATATTTAGGTACAATCTGAGTCCAATAATCGAAATATGGGAAAAAAAAAAAAAAAAAAAAAGAAGAAGAAAGAAAAGAATTGGTATGCCATTTCAGGAAAATATTGATTTTGTGTCAAAATATCTATGTTAGGACAAAGGTATATATAAATCTAATATATATCCTAAATCGTGCTTTCGAGACATGAGAAATCTAAATTAAATTTCATCAATCGGCCCAGTAAAGAGAGGGAGATATAAAACTGCCCCCCTTTTCGCACAGATTGTCCGTACGTATAGACGTCACACAAAAATCCCCTTTGAATCCATTTTATAATGCGTTTTAGAAAAGGGAGTCTTTTATTCTCTCCGTACGTACAGATATGACACGAAGTAATCCCCCAAATGGATTCGGAAGTGGCCAAAATGGATATTTCCATTGAAATCTGAAACTCGAAGCTTTTCGAAATTACAATACTTGCTTTACATCGTACAAGTAAAGGAGTAACAAAAAAAAAAGCAACCCCTAAAAGGGAATTCAAAAGATATGCAACTTTTAAATATCTTACGATTTTGCTCTTGAATTGTGTGTGACGTATGGGCGAAGAAAGCGATGTTTAGTAATACAGCTAAAAAGAGAAAAGTCGTGTTAGCAGGAGTGAGCCCAAGATCAGAATGATAACCACAGATGCTTAGCGAGTGCATAAAAACCTTAACAAACCCTCTGATACGACGTTAAAAATCTCAATCCGTTTAGGAAAAAAAAAAAAAAAAGTATTTTTCATGCACCTGTATTTACGTGGAAATCTATTCATAAATCTTGCATTTTCTTTTTCAGATAAAATGATTTCGATGCGGTTGGAAGATGTTAAGGAGAAGATACGAAGTGCTCTTCCTCTTGGCAGGAAAAAATGTTCGCTGGATGAGTTCAATCGTCGCTTCCGAAGCATAATCGGGCACAGATTACCTTTTAAAGAGTTCCAATACCAAACAGATGTGGAATTCTTAAAATCCATTCCAGACACCGTTTCCATCAACCGTATTAAATCCGGAGAATATTTTGTACAAGGAGTTAAATTAAAAAGGACAGATAGCTTTGGTTCTGATTTGTCTACACACTGCAGGCTTTATGGTCTTACTTCCGCACATTGCAAATCAAGCGGTAAGTACTATTTTTGTTTTATCCACAATTTCCTCTGAAGCTAAAGAATTAAATGTACTTATGTATTATCCTGTGGACCGTGAATCTATCCCCAAGCAAGGCGATTTCTCATCAGTTGTGGATAAGCGTGAAGTAACAACAACACACTTATAATATCTGTGCTTTTATTTGATGTGACACTGATTGATTAGCGATATAAGTCACTTTTTTTTAATCTACAAGGAGGCAAATAAACTTTTATTGCCTTTTTTTTCTTGCATTTTTTGGGGGGGGATATTAAAATTTGCGGCTTACTTTCCACAGAATAGCAAGCAGTGCATTATTTACAAAGTTATAGGTTTGGTTTATTTAGTTATGGCAAAGCACTAGAAGGCTATCTTCCTAAAGGGAGGGATGCCTTTGTGGAGGACTTTCTAAGAGAAACTGGCTGACAAACACGTTACACGTGAGAAAAGCCACAAAAACGTCCATGCAGCCAGCTCGTTCGCCGGGATTCGAAATCCAGAGCGAATTAGCAGTGTTAAGCGACTTAACCGCTCTGCCGCTGGTGGGCTCAAAGTTGTAGGATCATACTATCCAAAAATTTGTATATTAATGGACACGATGTCGGCAGTTGCGTAAGACAAAACAATAATAAATTTGAACAATTACTTGCAGGAAATTTGTACTCACAGCGTTCGAAACATGGTAAAATAGAAGGACCTAACAAAATAGTAGATATCAATGCCTTTTAATGAAGCGCGAAAAGGAAAGGTCAATGAAGGGCAAGCCTTTTAATGAAGCGCGAAAAGGAAAGGTCGAATACTGATTGTTTATTAAATAAACAGGCCCCAGTTTCTTCAGAATTCCGCAGGAACGATTGGCGCATCTATGGCGGTTCGCAGCCAGCTTGCATAATACGGTGGCAGCTAATTTTCCCAATCGATGGGCTAATATGTAAGTGGCAAATTAAATTTCTGATTAAAGGAAAAAAAAAAAAAAAAACTAATATTATTTCCTTGCGTATTCCTCCCCCCTCCCTAGGTTTTTTTTGAAATACAGGTTCTGAAAATTTTAAAAAGGTTCATGTTATATTTCCTCCTCTCCCAATACACTCACAGAACGAGCTCTCTTAAATTTTAAAATTTATTCGTCCACCTAGCGCTTGTCTTCATCTCACCAAAAAAGACAATCCTCGCAAACTATCTGTGAAGATCACTTCGAAACTGTCGACTAACTGTTGAACTTTATGTCTGCATAATACAACAATCGACCCAACACGGCGAAGAAAACACGAACTGGCATTCAGTCTATGATTTCGCTGAATAGGCTGCGCATTCATCTTCGCTAATTATTTTTGGATGAATGGAGGCCTAAGGAGTAGCAGAGACGATAGTAAGAATGGAGCAAGATTCAAGCTACAGAGAAGTAGAAATGAAGATATCTTATTAGATTTTCTAATGTTAATATTTCGATATATTCTTATTGGAATATAGGTTTCTGTTAAAGAAATAAAATTGTGATCCTATAGTTTATCCATGTTATTTTCCTACTGCAACTGTGTTCTTCGGTAGTTAAATGATTCACCTAATTTTCCCCTTTCGATTTTCGGACGATAAAATTAGAAAAAAAGGGCGGAGAAATATTGTATTTATGCATAAAGACTTTCTAAGTTACACGGTTTTAAAAAGATAACTATTTTAAATTTTAAAACTGTGTTATGTATCGTGCATTGAAATTATTAAAATATATTTTTTTTAGCTGTGAAAAAATTCTCAAGCAAATAACATTAAAAAATAGACAACTGGGTTGCTAAAAATAGCGCATTTTAAAATGAAAATTGTGAAGTGAAATTTTGAAACTTGTAAATAATCATTCTTACATATCGTATTTCCTGGAGTAATCCCCCCTTTTTTTAAGCTAATTTTATCATCCAAAAATTGAGAGGGGAAAATGAGAATAATTTATTTTCCAAAGAACGCAGTTACAGTAAGAACATAGCAAATGAGAAGTAATTATGGATAAATGCTGGTAAATTTCGCAACACCATTTCTTAAAAAAAAAAAAAAAAAAAAAAAAAAAAAAAACTTGTATTCCAATAAGGATATATAGCAATATTAATATTGTTATATCTGACGGATATTGAGCCGATGTCTGACGGTAACTGATTGGGCTCAATTATCTTGTAAAGCTCCAGAAGCACCTCACACGAATAGGGCTTGATCGCAGTTTCCGAGAAGGACATCGGAGGAATGAAGGGGGGGGTATTGTTCTTTGTTTGTACATAGACGTTCTTTGACTACAGTGAGCTGGAATGTAAACAACAGAATTAAGATGAAAACACATTTTGTAAAGTTTCTTGAGTGTGAGAACACCTGCCATGTCCGGGTAGCTTAACGAAGAATCTGTACAAAATACGATTAAAAAATAAATGCAAGGACAAATGAAATGGACGAAATACTTATACAGAAATGCAAATATAAATTAAATGCACTGAATAAAAGTAAAAATAATAGAGGGAATACAATTTGCCAATACACTAATCCTTAAAGGGAAAAACTATGTACAATAAAAGAAAGGGAAAATTATGCGAATATTTGAAAAAAAAATTAGGATCAAACGATAAAAAGTTAGAGAAAGAATATACGCAATCAAATCTTGAACTCTCTTCTCGTAAGCAAATCTTAGATTCGAACCTCTGGAATACGCGCTGAGTGGTATCATTACAACAAGAGGATATGCTGGAAGGAGAGAGAAAATACCTAATATACTCCCCCTTTTAAAGAGCGACTGAGGATTAGGAGACCTAATCTCCAATTCCTAGTGGTGATGAATTTTCGTCCGCCATCTTTTAGTTCGAACGCCACTGTGGTTCTTGACGCACTATTTCAGTTTGTGTCAAGAATAATTCCCTTTGCGGAATTCTTTATTTATTGTAGCCTGTTTTCCTTTACTTTTTTCATTGTGCACGAGCGGAAAAAAAGAAGCATCCTTCATTCTTTCAAATAATTTTAACAAAGAACGTAAAGGACATTTAGCCTTATTATCGCTTATAAAATATATGCCAAATTAAAAAAAAAAAAAAAAAAAAAAAAAAAAAAAAAAAAGCCAATATATAAATTCGCGTATATCTTAGAAAATTTTGAATAAAAATCTAATTTTTGTGCCTAGAAATACATCTACTTTACGAAGATGGCAAAAATTTTGTGGGTTAATGATTTTATATGTAAGAAACAAAAATTTATAAAACTACTAAAAAATAGAAATAAAAATAAAAATAAATATAAAAGACCTGAAAGTTTTCAGATTTTATAAACGCCCAATGCGACTTTTTTTAACGTTTTGCGTGTTACCTTTATTTATTAAATATCATGTTCTTTGCACTTAAACCATAAAATTCAATTCAAGAGCAATATCTCAAAATAATTTTAAAATGAGCATACTTTTAGAATTTCCGATACACAGTCTCGCGCGCTGGAGATAATCTCCCCCGTAAAGTGTTGCCATTGCTCACTTTGAAATCGCTGAGTTTTTTAATCAAAAATTCGTTAAAGTTTTGCAAAATATGAAGAGATCTTTAGAGGTATGAAATAGATAATAAAACAAATTATAAATTTTCTCTTCCAGATGCCCATATTTGGGTGTAAACCTACGTTATTCAAAATTTGATGGTTCTAGGTACCGTTGTTTTATCGCAATGTGAGAAATATCCATTTATGCAGATTCTTCATTATTTAATTTCTTCAAATATAACACAGGGCGACAATATTTGATCGCAACAATCTTCTGGGCTAACGCCCTTTGGGCTAAAAATAAATCAGAAAATATTCGCGAGTTTTATATGGGTGTAATTTAAATTTTGAATCGTCAAAGAAAGAATCGTGTTAATTTAATAAAAAAAAAAAAGAATAAATAATAAATACATACCAAATTCAATCAACATATAGGAATTAAAATTTTGAGAGCTAATTTTTGGAAAACTATTCATGCGATCTTTACGAAACTTATCAGTTAATTTGAGTTGTAGAATTGAAATAGGGAAAGCAATCGGTAATGTCATTTCAGAAAAAGTCCGATTTTGTGTCAAAATACCAATGTTTGAATAGTCTAAGCCTCACAATGTCGTCTTTATTATTATTATTATTGCAGAGTGTACATAGAATAGTAATCTTCGAAACGTTTGCAGTCTTTTTTTAGTTTTTTGAGGAAGAGTCTCCATATTTAAATTTCAAAATTCAACCACAACGGCTTTGGGACAACTAAAAGTTAAACTTCAAAACATCTGTAATACACAGTAGTAAAAGCAGAGAAAATGAATGAAAACCTTGTCTTTTTCTGTAATGCTTCAGGCAAAACTTTGTAAAACTCTTTAGAGGTCTGAGCAAATTATACAACGTGCAAAAAGACATGGAAGTACGTTGCACCAAAATTCCTATAAGTTCAAGTTTTCAACGAATAGAAAGACATCAAAATGGCGCACATAATACGTTTACACTGAAAAGTTCAGTAGTTAACAAACATCGCCCGTTAAACCAAGCTTAACTTCGAAAAATAAAGTGTTTCTTTCTAAAGCTAAAAGCTTTTATAAATCTAAAAGTAAGCAGGTAAAAATTAAGCGTATAGTTAAAAAATTGAAAGGCGCAAAGAATAAGCTATATGCACTTTTAGAAGAAAACACAGTGGAATTATCTAAATTTGAAATTTAAGTAAAAACATTTTATATCTTCTTGATATAAAAGTTACGAACGTTTCATAAGAAATCTTTTGCATTTTTGCATGTTATGAGAAGTATGGTAATTTTCTCACTCCTTCCATCCTGACTTCGTGGTGTAACGGTTACCACACTCGCGCCCGAAATAAAAATGATGGCGGATGATGATTCTTCACCACCAGGATTTGGCGAGTGGGTTCCTTAATCCCCAGTCACCCTTTAAAAGGGGATGTATGTAAGGTATTTTCTTCCTCCTTTCTGCATGCCTTCGCAGTGTAACTGTAGCACAGTCGGCGCGTATTCGAGAGGTCCAGGTTCGAGTCCCGGCGAAAGCATTGCTCATTTTTCGTCTTTCCAGCTTCTAAGAAATGTAATAGTCTCTGCAATTATTTTATATTGAAGTAGTTAAATTCCACTGTTGTTTTGAAGGATATTTTTTCCCCTTGTTTATTGTTAATAAAATAGCTTGGGCAAGCATGATCACATTAAATAGCGCCTTCTATAATACATTCCGCCAATGCTGATATAGTAGGATTGTGGGAATTTCTTAGAAAATTAGCTATATAACCTTGCAGAAGCAATATGTTTGTGTATTGTATATGTTAATTTTTTAATATTGCAGATTTTAAAGACAGCACGAAACCTCCATTTGCTTCTATTCATAAATCAGTTGCATCATTTATGAGCGAAGTACCTGAGGAACCAGAAAGTTCTAGTGTTGTTCCAGAAGATGTGAGAAGAAATCTTCTAAAGGTAATTGCTAATTTTAAGTACCTTTGAGATAATTCTAATAAGAGCACACATAAATACAATCCAAATACAACGTTATCTCGGCACACGTCATTAATCCGTTCCAGATCCTTCGACGTATATCAAATGAACTTTTCCTGTAAGAAATAAAGGGAAAATAATTAATCCGTTCTTATAAAAAAAAAGTCCTATTGTCATAATTATAATGCTGCTTAATAATACAATACTAAAATAACAGTGCAGTTGGTGATATACAGGGTGCTTCAGCAGTTCGGTTAACAAACTTTCAGGAAAGGTAGAGAACACCTAAACGATGGAAAATCACATAGCAGTGCATGGTCGGAAACGCTTTCCTGGCGCGGTAGTGACGACAAAAAGCACAAGAAAGAATGGACACAAATAGGGTGAGAAAACATGTTTATTATGTTAAGCGCAGCTAAAATGTTGAGAATGTTAAATTTTTGCATACGTGAACAGCCTTGATGTGCGTCTCCACTTTAATGGAACGTATCCTTAACATTGGATCGGCAGGCGTGGTCCGGTGTATTGGCCAGCAAAATCTCTACACCTCACTTGCATTAACTACTATACGTCAAGACAATGGTGAACGAAAGCCCGTTTAACAGTGCATATGAACTTGTCGCACGCATCATGGCAGTTGCTGAGGAAGTCCGAGAGCCAGATATTTTTCAGAACATCAGATCTTCCATGCGCCGGAGATGTTAGGCCTGCATCACGATCCGGGGCCTTAATTTTGATGTCGCAAAATTTAATTCTTCTTTTATGACAATTTTTGTTTTTATTTTTCTTTTCATTTCTTGGTTTCTGCTGCACTGAGCATAATAAACATGTTTTCTCACCCTGTTCTTGTCCATTCTTTCTTGTTTTTAGTGTCATTACCGCGCTAGGACAGCGTTTCCGACCATGCATTGCTATGTGATTTTCCATTGTCCAGGTGTACTCTTATCTCTCCTAAAAATTTGGAACCGAATGATTGAAACACCATGTATATAAATGAAGCATTACGTGTAATACTGTACATCAGTGCTAATCCAGACCAAAAGCAATTTCCCAACATGCTTATATTGTCTCTGAGCTTTGTTTGGTTCTATTTTAATAGCGTCTTTGGTTTTTATAATGAGAGATAGCGTCGTACTCGGCATACGGTATGCAACAGCCGAGTCCTGGATACGCATGCCATCTTTCTACTTTTCAGCAATCTTTTTTTTTTTTTTTTTTAAACCCTTTATATTACTGTAAACCTTGCCGGTTTCATTGGGAGACTCCCGCTTTTTCATCACATCTCCCGATTTCCCAGTTTTTAATTTTTTAGCCTTTGCTAAATGTTTCTCAGCAATAAATGAAATTTATTAAAGTAATGAAACTTAAATTAGTCAAATTCCAGCTCTCTACCCCTACTGATTTTCAAAATAATTTTCTTAATTATTTTTTTCATCTGAACTGTATATTTTCTTATTAAATTTTATTGATTTTCTTAATTTTTTCATCTTAAAGTTTATTTGATGTGAGTTGTCTTAATTGAATGCAGACATCTGTAGATTTTTATATGAAGATTCAAGCAATGTTTAAATAGTTAATATTTGCATTGAATTTTCTTTGCTTCAGTATATGTACATTGCCATGTTTACCCACACAGATATTATATACATTAAATATTAATTTTGTTTACATCGCATTTAAAAGTTCTTTGACAAATAAAAGCTTCCCTACACTGCTCATTATAAAAAAAATTTTCAGTGTAAAAATGTAGGGAAATTAAAAAATAAAATAAGCTAAAGAACTTAAAATCGAGAATATCCAATTAAATGCCAATATATTTACATCGGAATTTACTTGCAAATAGTTCAATTCAATGACTTGAATCATGCATTATAAAGTGAGCTGAAATCAGTTTGGAGTTTCTTGAAATGGTGTTGTCCTGTAAGCTTCCCGGTTTTCTCGCAATTTTTTTTTTTTTTTTTTTTTTTTTTTTTTTTTTTTTTTTTTTTAAGATTTCAAGGTAAGCAGCTATGGCTTTAAGATGATTCTAACAATTTTCTTCATTCCTTGACATTTCTGATTAAATTTCTTTAAACTCATTGTTAATAAATTTACAAGAAATTACAAATTTACAGAACACATAAAATCACTTTATTTTACTTTATCACATTTAAATTCTGTGCTTTATCACGGGGCGTTTAGAGAACATTAGCAAACAGGAATACTGATGCTCATGAGCAATCGTAGCGTTGTCTCGAAAAAGTGAACAATCGTAATACGCGCGCAGTCGTGATTCATCAAACTCGAGCTGTATTCCAAACCAGAATTTTTACGTCTACAACAGGAACGTTGGATATACAGTAAATTCCCCTTCATACGAACTCGCTTAAGGCGAACGCTCGGTTTCGGTCCCGCAGCGATGTTTATAATCTTGTAAGAAGTTTTATAAATTAACGCGAATTTAATGACTGGGAAATCCTGAAATGAGACGTAATCAACACTATTGCCAATTGAAAGAAAAATTTGTCAAATGTCAATTTGGAGATCGTATAAAGTCAATAACACTGTTTTTGTAGAAAAAGTTTCACCGTGAAACTTATCGCTAATCTATAAAACTCAGATGTTTACGGTATTTTCTCGCGTATTTTTGCTCTTAGCTTTTCTCACGATTGTAAAATTTTTTTTTAAATAAACGTGTTATTTCCCCTTCCTTCATGCTTTCTGAAAATGACCTACCCTAAGTTTTAGAATTCTTAATAACAAAGACAAACCCTCGCAAACTACCTGTGAAAGTCATGCCTAACCTTTTCCCATCTATACCAGCCGAATAGAAGAACCGACACATCACAGCGAAGTAAACACGAATCCACATTCAGTCTTCGCCGAGTCGGCTGCACGTTTACTTTCTCTAACTATTTATGGAGGGTTTGAGGGCTAAGGAGTAGCAGAGGCAATAATAACAACGGACGAGATTCAAGTCACGCGGAAGAAAAAAATGGAGATACCTTATTAGAATTGTAATGTTAATATTACTATGCATTCTTATTGTAATGTAGGTTTCTTCTAAAGAAATAATATTGCGATAATTACCTGTAGTTTATCCATGGCTACTTTTTATTTATTCTTTTTATTTGTTATGTTCTTTATTTGTTATGTTATTATAGTAACCAGGTCCTTCGGAAATTAAATTACTTGAACAATTTTCCCGTTTCGATTTCGGACGATAAAAATAGTAAAAAAAAAGGGGGGGGAATATATGAAGAAATATGGTAATACAAAATGTGCATTATTTTGTTAACTTTGTAACCGATGAAAATAATTCTAATATGATTTTTTTCCCTTTTATATAGCTTCTTGAAATGTACCCCTGTGGGATGTGTGCTTCCGATTTTCCTTCGCTTTATGAAGTATGTTTTCGTAATTTTTGTGATTCTTAAAATATTATTTTTCTGTTATATGTTCACATATGTTGTTTGTTTCTCTTGTTGTTTGTTAACATGAGTCTTTTTCTTCTATTTTTGTTCATACAATTATAACGTCAAATTTGGTAATGGCAACAGTGCTTATTACACGAGCTCCTCGATCTATCTCCACCAATAATTGAGTGGGTAAAACCGCTGAAAATTGGTAATTCATCCTTGTTTAGGTTCGAAACTAAGCGACCCCGAAATCAGTTAAACTGAGAATTAAGTTTTCACAAATGTTACACTAACTTGAAACGTCAGTTGCTTTAAGATCCTCGGGGCGCGGATAACCGAAATAATAAAAGAGAAAATTACGCAAATATTTAAAAAAAATCTAGCTCAGGTGTAAGGTATTTGCTCCTATTCCATATTTTACAATGGAACATAATTTAACACTTAATAATAAATCTTAGGATATTTTCTAGTTTCGAATCTAAAAAAGCACTTGAATTTTAAAACTTATCATTGCTAATTGACTTTTTTGTTTCCTCCTATTTTAAGCACATTTAATTGAACTTCAAATTGCCTTGTCATTTGTTTAACGCCATTCATTCTGGCTAACTTCAAAGTTAGTACTAATATAAATTTTGCTCTCAAAAAAGTTAGAAACAAAAGAATTGTCTAAAATCGTGAATGTCGTTATCACAGATGTTACGCTTGTCCCGGGAACGGATATATAGATAATAGTGCATTATCATTCCTCCCTGTTGTGACTTAAGACTGTAATTGAACTCCTGCAAGAAGATAAAAGAATAACATTCAATCCTTGCAACTCTTCTCGCGAGGAGAGGTATTCATTTTTGCGCAATATAAAGACTTTTATGAACACATCCTGAAGATTAAATCTTCATAGGATATACTGTGTATATTTTCTGCATAATTATTCCACAGACTTGCTTACTATTGAGTGTGACTCCTACTGTTAGATTTGAGAGTATTTGGGCTCGTATTTTACAGCTAGCTCTGTGGATTCTAAAATAGAATCTGTACTTTTCAAATTCGTGCGTGTCAGTCTGTCTGTTTGTTTGCTTGTTTGTGGCATCACCTCCTCCAGAAAGGCAGAGAGAGAGTTGAGTTTCGGGAGAGGAACCCCGGATTTAAAAAATTCGTGGGAACCTATTTCGCTCATTCTCATCTTCGTGCGACTTTAATTAGTTGAGATATTAATAAAAACTCTGAAAACGGTAGTTTTCCCACTCATTTTTTCAAGTGGCAACAGTCTTGGCAGTCGCTGGAGATAAAAAAAATCTGCTTTATTTCGAAAAGTATTGCCGCCGCTCGCTTTCAAATCGTAGAGTTCATTAGTAAAAATTTGTAAGTTTGTAGAGACATTAGGTATATTTTTGGTAGCAGGAAAGATGAAAAATAGCTACCGCCCTCACCGGGAATCGAACCACGGACCTCTGAAACGAAGGCACGCTAGGAAAGCGGTTGAAATACCTTACATACTCCCCCTTTTAAAGAGCGATTGGGGTTTTTAGCGAACCCAATCGCCAAATCCTGGGTGTGGAAAGTCATCATCCACAACCCTTTTAGTTCGGCCGCCACTGTAGAGACATTAGGATTTTTTTTAGAAGCAGGCAAGAATGAAAATCTGCAACTGCCTTCGCCGGGAATCGAACCGCGGACCTCTGGAATACCGGCTCAGCTGCAGAACCACTACACCACGAAGGCACGCTAGGAAAGCGGGAGAAATATCTTACAAGTTTTACAAAATATGAAATAAAAATAGCATTTCCAAACATTAAACGCATTATTATTATTTAAGGTCATGTTCTGACGTTGAAGATAGCACACGATTTCATGTGACGTCATTTTATGTCTACAATTTTCTTTAATGTCAGAATTTGGCAACTTTTTTCTTTCATATTAAGATGACTAAAATGGCATTTTATTGTGACGTTAATTCTTTTAGTGTTCTGGGGAAAATGTTGTTATATTAAATTTAATTTAACTTGTGATATCATCTATATACGTATTAACCTGAAGTATCCAAAGTTTTATTTCCTGGTTTGACAAAAAAAAAAAAAAAATATTTACGAATTGGTTGTTGCTTGGAATTTAAAATGAACATAGAACTCATAAATTGTGCTTTGGTCGCAGCTAGCAACTTTGTATACAGTATGTAGGATTTATATTTATTTTAACTAATATTTATTTTAAGTTTAAACTATCTTTCCTGTCAAGCCTTACTTTTCCCTGGAATTGCCAATGCCAGAGTATGTAAATTTTAGTAGAACGCGCAAGGATTCAAATTATCAGCGGAAGTATTCTGAGTTAAATAGAAAGGAAACGAGTTCGAAAGGGTGCTTTCTTGCTTCACGAGTGTGGAGGTGGCTAGTTAGAAATTGAAGAACCACGCGTTTCGGCTTGTGTGCTTGCCTCGGCCAACGTAATATTCAGAGTTTGCTGAATTATTGCGGTATTTTAGAACGCGGTGAGGTTAGTTACGTTTAGAGAGCCTCGTAGTTAGTCACTTGTTAGTATCTCTTTTTAGTTTCTTATTTTTATTTTACCGCCGGGTCGGCGTAGTTTGTGAGCGTCAAGAGCACGCATTTGTAACTTCTAAAGTTGAATAAAAGGGATTTAAACCCTTCTCAAGACTTTGGGCTGTTTCTAGTTCTCAGCAGTCACCACTTTGTTGCGTGCAGGTTGGAAGCGCGCAACTTTGAAAGTATATTAAACTAATAGTTCATTTTATTTTCAGTGCATAGAACTTATAAATATTGCTTTGGCCGTTGCCCGCTCAGCCGGTGGGCTTGCCCGCTAGTATGCCAGTAATTTCTGCAAACGAGTTATAGTGATGGAAAAGAAATTTCAAGGTTCATGCAGACAATCACACAATAAAATTAAACTTAAATTATAAAGCGTCTGTACTTGAGGATTAGCATAAAAGTATAGGTAACTGTTTGCTTGATTAAATACTCGTTTCAGTATAAAATATCCATATCTCAGTTTTGTTCTGGGATGAACCACAAACAGGATTCTCCGGAACCGGTCAGCAACATTCGCCAACAGCTAATTTCTGGCGGATTCTAGCTGCGCTCGCTTGCTTTACCAGACATAGGTACAGGCTCGGACTGACACTCTTCAGACATATAACAGCTAATTTTACGGTTCCAATTAACCTACATAAATCATATGCTAGTTTCAAAAATCTGTATAACCATCCGTAGAAAACGAGCTGCAATTGTGGAAGTAAGAAGTAATAGTAAAGGTGCAAATTAAAACCCAACTTGTTAGTAAAATAAACTGAATTGTCACAAGGGTATCCCAACCGAATCTCCGGATCGCTACACAAGGGAATAGCGAGTTTTTATTGTGAAAACTCATTACAAGAATGGTATGATAAAGCAAGTTCAACAGCAGACATTAAATCACCATGCTGTCGATTCAGGCGGCTTATAGAAAATATTGCTATTGCCCATTACAGTGCTATTGGAAGTCCCAAAGAATTCGAATTTAAAGAGTAAAAAAATAAGAACTTAATAAGGAGATTCAACGTGTCATTAGTACCTCGACAGGCAGATATATGAGAACGTGATCACGTATTTCGTCGAGAGAGAGCAGTGCTGTTGAAGTTGTGATAGACATATGCATGGCATTATTTTTCATTCTTAAATCCGAACATTTGCCTGTTGTAAGTATATAAAATTATTTTCCACATTCTAAAGACTAATCTATTACCTAAAGACTAGTTAGTGATATACTATCACTTGAAGCTTCGTTTCGCATTTTTTGATCCACGAAGAGAGAGATATTCTTGCTTAAATTTGAAGTCAGAATGAGCGGGATGGAAATGCATTTGCAATTTGAGAAGTTAAAGAAAATGGTCGTTCTTGCAAAAGAGAAATTACGTGGGGAAAAAAGTTTGCAAATAGTATGATAAAATACCAGGCGGAAAAATATGTAAGTCAAATATGGTATTTAAAAATAGTTTAATATTTATATTTTGATTTAAATACTATCTAGATGTATCTTCTGGATGTAGCTTCATTTCACTTTTGCACAAATAATTAACACGTATATCATAATTCTAATATACTTTGATATTCCTAAAGCTTGCTCTCAAAACCTGCACGCACCAGCTGCGACTTTATTTGATTGCCAAGCTGTTTGTTGCAATAATATTTATTAGCCTTCAAATTATTTTCGCCTGCATTTCTGTAGTAAATTTCCTTGTAGAGTTTTTTGAAACGGGGGACGTGAAAAATGTACAGTACCCTCGCCGAGTCTCGAACCCTGGAACTCTAGAATGCCCGTCAAGTATGCTTCAAATTACTCTACAAAATCATGCGGAAAGGAAGGGGAAAATACTGCATATTCTCCCCCCCTTTTAAAGGGCGACTAGGCATTAATGGACCCAATCGCCGAATCCTGGTGATTATCGTCCACCGCTTTTAAGTTCGGGTGCCACTTAGTTTTTTTATTTATTTATTTATTTATTTTTAAGCAGGAGACATGAAAAATGTGCAGTGTCCTCTCCAGGACTTGAACCCTAGAACTCTGGAATACGCGTCGAGTAGGCTCCCAGCTATGCCACCAAGGTATGCGGAAAGGAGAGAGAAAATACCTTATATCCTTAAATCACAAATCTGAAAGGAAGTTCGTAGTGTATAACGACACAAATAAAACACTAGCTGGGTGACGTATATGCTGTTACACTGCGTCACTCGGCTGTTTACTTAAAATTTGTTTCAGTGTTTGGGTTTATGTGTTACATATTACATTTGCGTCATTCTAAGATTGATTTTTAATTAATTTTTAAAGTCTTGTTTAATTTTAATGTAGTCTCTATGCTAATTAAATATCTGTTCTTTATATGCGTTATGAAATGTTGTTTATATCATGGAAAGATTCTTTTGTCAGTTTCTAGAACTAGTTCTTTTATTTATTTATTTATTTATTTTACCTTGTAGGAAGTTAACCATGTTACATTTGATCATCGTGGATTGGGATTTGATTGCCTGGCAGATTTCATAGATACAGTTTCAGATATATTCAAAAGGAAACATATTGCTGAAATTAAAAGAGATTGGTTAATTGTACCGGCAGATATGGAAGGTATTTTTTAAAATGTATCAGTTTATGTTCAAACTGTGTGGAGAAATCCCAGTAAAACACGTGTCAGAGGTAGAGAAAATAATATTAAATTATCTTGTGCCCAAAAAATAAATGTCGCACATAATAAAGAATGTCCTCAGGTGTGCGATTCAAGTCACAACGCCCCGAAATCTATTTAGGATATCCCAAGTATCTTAATTCTTGTTATGTCCTTAGGACGTTGTACTGAGGTTGTCTTCTAAACATTTATTCAAGGATGCATATATCTATGTATAAAAACAAAGTTTGGAAATTTCAGATTTACCTAATAAATTATTAAAATCGCGTAGTATGCTGCGAATTCAATTAAATAATAAAGAGGAAATATTTCAGTCAAGAAAAAGGTCAGTCTTTTCATCGTAAGTACACATATTAAAACTGAAACAAAAACAATTCAATGAAATGGAAACAAAAACAGTTCAATAAAATATAACTAATACCACATAAGAAATTTTAATTAAAGAACTTTTAACAACATTTTAATTTTATTGAACTGTTTTTGTATCAGTTTTGATACGTTTACTTCCGATTACAAGACTGAAAGTTCTTGATTTAATTTATGATGTGATTTAATTATTATCTCTTTATTATATATATATATATCCTCTCAAATTTTCCCTTTTCTTTATTTTTCATTTTTATTTCTTTATTGAAAAAAACTTTTTTTTTCATAATTTTATCATCGAAAAATTCAGAGGGGAAAATTATTATGCAAGTCCTTTAATTTCCGAAGAAGGCGGTTACAAAAAGAACATAACAAACGAAAAATATTCGCAGATAAACTTCTGGTAACTCACATTATTATTTCTCTAAAAGAAACCGCAATCCCAATGAGAATATCATCAGATATCGTAATTTTAATATTACTATTAACATTACGATTACTATTATTACTCAGTTAACATTACTATTAACTGAGCGGGACACGTAGTCCTATACTTTTTAATGTTCATGGGCATCTCCCATGAATGAGCCTTGACCGCAGTTCCCGAGAGGAATATAGGAGGAACGAAGGAGAAGGAAGGTGAATAAAAGACCCCGACTTCGAAAGATCGAACACATCAGCGATAGATAAGGCTACATGGAAAGTGAAATCAAATGTTTTGAAAGTTTCCTAAGAGTGAGAACATTGCTATGTCCGGGTAAGGGAGATCTGCACAAAATACGTTTCAAATAATAAATGTAATGGAAAATAAAATGGATGAAATGCTATACAAAGTGCAGATACAAATTGAATAGATTGAATAAAAATAAACATAATCAAGGGAATCCAGCTTAACAATAAACTAGTTATAAGAGATGAAAACTACGCAAAATAGAGGAAAGTGAAAATTATTACATTTTTTTAAGGATAATTGTCAAACATTCCGAGGATGTTTATTTTCGTTTCTTTGGTTTTCCGAGTTGGCTATAATGAAAGTATACATTCTGTTTAATTCTCATATCAGTTTTCAATGAATTGTTTCTAGAATGTTTTTTGTTTTATAAATAACATATATTTTTACATACTTTTTCCATAATTAGTGCAATTAAAAGTGAAGCTATCAATTAACAGGATATGACATCACGCCTTCTCATAGTCGCTTTGTTGTATTCATTGGCGTGTTAAGTCATTACTAAATCTCCCGTTTTTGTTTTAAAACTTAAGCTCAATGATTTTTTTTTTTTTTTTTTTTTTACTTAGTGCATAAAACGAAATCCTAGATAGCAGCCATGACAAGTCATGACGTCACATTTTTAACATTTCCTTGACTTCATTTTCTTAACGTCATGCTTACGCTATTTATTTTACCCTCCTTCGTCCTATTCAGTGTGTGATGAGAGTGTATTAATTTCCCCTAAGATTTGTATGGTTGTAAGGCAAAATTGTGCTAGCCTTTATAAACTTTTATATATATTATATATTTATATTTATAAAAGATATTCCTTTATAAAGGATTTTCGTCCAAAAGATTTAAAGAATGCAGAACTTCCCATCCAGGAGACAGAACTTTGAAATAAAACAAATCGCACGGATAAAAATTTTCTACTTCCTAAAAGACGAATCACCTGTATAGTTCCAAGGTCATAAAAATCTATTCACTACTTTCCCTCACTTAGAATATAAAAACTTTCAAAACCTCCATATCACCAGACTTTAACAGAGTTCCGTCTGACAACTCAGTCAAGAAATTTGAATGGAGTCAGGGAACACGTTCTAGTTCTTTGATTCACTGGTCATAGACACCATAAGGTGTCCTAAGATATGCTTATTGTGTGTCCCTGTTCTCAAAAAAATTGCCTCGCCTAGCCTTTACTTAGAATAGAGAGAAATATGTGAAGATATAAGGAAAAGTAACTTAAAAACATTGTCCGGTATTCTAAGATATATGTATGTAATAATACATGAAATTAGTTTTATAATTTATTATTTACTTTTATGCTTTTAGATCAAACTTTTGCTAAAAATGCTGATTTGTCTAAGGACAACTCTCTCGTCGTTGACAATGTTATTCAGAACATCCGGAAAATGTTAGTAAAATACTATCCTGGAGGCATCCCTTTAGATAGTTTTCTTCATGTATACACTGTAAGTATTTATGTTTTTATACATACGCCGTGACCACAAAAGTCCTTGCCCGGCAACCACTGGTTGCAGGCAATAAGGGCTACTTGTAAAAGGGGCGAGTAGTAACATTCATGTTAAGCAGCTGTTTTTCAAAATTTTGTTCATCAGAATTTTCACCAAACATGATTTTCATGACGGGCACTATTACGTCAATACTGTCAATGTTCTGCCGAAACGAGTTGTCAGAGGTATCATGCAAGCACATTTTGATTTAAAATAAGTAAATTGATCTTTTTTAAAATTATTTTAACTATTTATTTTATATATGTATTAAGTTTTAAGATGCTGCTTTAATTTTCTTTCTGTTTTTTTTATAAATCAATAATAATGTTCGAAACTATACGATGGGGCAATTTACAACAAAATCTCATGGTAAGTTGTAACATGTTAGGACTTGCCCCGAGACCATGACTGGCTGAGTTAGATATTTTATTTCAGCGTCAACATGCAAATTACTTTTTTCTATTTTTTAATTGCCTAAAATAGAAATATCTGAGATGCATACCACATTACTTCCTTGTAAAGGCTTAAACTTATTTCCTCGAATTTCATTGGGAGGGAGGTATCGGAACGCAATCAAGTGTCAAGCTGTAGAAAGAAATAAAGAAGTTTATAACTATATACACATAAAAATCTGTATTTTTGTTCGTGCTACGCAGAAAAATTTAATAAATAAGAGAAAAGGACTAAATTATTATTATTTATCCTCACGTTTTGTCACACTTGGTAAATTTTCTTTGAAATTTTTGGAATTTTTCATAATTTGTTTACTTTTTGTAAATGAAAATTAGCTTAAATAATTTAATTATTATTAAATAATTTTTATAAAATAATTATTTAATATTAATTAAATATGTGTAGAGTTTTTAAGTTATATCGAGAGAGGGACTTGAAAAATTGCAATACTCTCTCCGAGATTCGAGCTTCGGATATCCCGAATACGCATCGAGCATGCTTCTAGTTACATCACGAAGGCATGTATAAAGGAGGGAGAAAATGCCTTATATATTATAATTATTTGAAAGAAACGGTCTGAGAACTTCATATTTATAACTACTTATTATACTTCATATTTAGCTGTAAATATATCTGAATTACAAAATATATGAGTAGCCCACAAAACTGTCTTAGAAAACAACTATAAAACCAAGCAATAGATTTAAGATAAAAAATAAATTCTCTACCTGACACTGAAAATGCAACACCAAGAAAGAGCGGCCCGAAAGTTATACAAATTTCAGGGTAGACGCACGTTAGCGAGTTATGCGAATGATGTCAAATGCGCAGCTCTACAGCGCACGTTGAAGAAGGTATAAGGAAAGGAACTCGGAGAATGTTAAATTTTCCTGCTGTTATTTCTGCTAAGGAAATGATCCTAGAAAATTTGTTCTTGTCACAGAGGATGCGGTAATAGAGATAGTAATAGATAATAGAGAATGTCAGATCGTAATCAACGGAGGCAGTTCTAGCAGATAGACGATTTTACTAGGGGCATGGTCGTCGGACTGAGAAGGGCAGGTACATACAGCAAATCTCAGCTGACACACACCTGGATACATCCACAGTTCACAGGCTGTGATGACGAGGGTTGGAACAAGGAAATGTGGCATGTTCGAGGGTGCCAGAGTTATGTCAACACGCGTTGATGGACTTATCCGCTGACAAGCGGTGGAGCATCAACGATACGTGTATAATATATTGGGGCTAGTGACAATCCCCTACTCTCTCAGGGAGTGCTCAGTGTCCTTTATTAGCAGCATAACACTCGATAACACACTGCTCGCATCAGCTAACGTGCTTTGCAAGGTGTATAGATGTTTCCATGGCCACCGTTCTCTCTTGATCTCTCACCAATTGAACACATTTGGAATGTGATTGGATATCATTTGTAGACCCTGCCATTGCTGCTTTCAGAAGATGAACTGTGGTAAATGGTTGACAGAGAATGGAAAGCCATTCCTCAGGACACCATCCGTAGTCTCATTGACTCTGTCCCAAGATGTGTTGCTTCGTGTTTCGCCGCCCAAGGTGGTCCTACAATCTACTGAGCTGATGCTGTTATCGCTCTGCATTGTGCATATCATTTCGATATAAAGATAACTTACTGTTCGTTGTTGTCTCTCTCTCTCTCCGTTTGCCGAGTTTCATCACTTTCTGGCCACTCCTTCTTGGCACTGCATTTCCAATGTCGGGTAGTGTATAAACTATATATTTTAAAAAATAAAAAAGATTTTATTATTACTATTGTTTATATACATTTTGATAAATATTTAAATATTTAGAGAGAGAAATTTGAATTTTTAAAATTTTATTAATAATGTTTTCCATTAAAAAAAATAAATTCTGGCCCATTAGCTGTTTTCAGATCGTGCATTTGGCCCGCATGCAATTTGAGTTTGAGACCACTGCTATACAGCATAATAACATTGTTACGAATTTGGTATTTAGATAGATTATTTTAGTAGAATTATAATTAAAATTGTTGCATTACCCCGTTCAATGCACAACGAGACAAATTTTAAGAGAAAGCTATGCTGAAAAAGTAAAAATACAGCAGCACATGCATTTAACATTCAATAAATGGGTATCTCGGTAATTTGTATTGAAATTAAATAAATCTAATTGACCTTCATGTTAGCTGCAACTGTAATTCCATCTTCATATTGTTTTCCAATAGCAGAAAGTACAATAAAAATCTCGTGACCGGTGAAAACTATAAAAGACTGGAGAGAGAGAGTCTGAGCGCAGTTGCTTTGCGAGTTGTTAATTGCGCATGAATTGAAAAATCCGAGTTAGCTTTCGCTTTAGATGTGCTTTGTATTGTGTTGTAATTAACGTTTCTCGTAGTTTGAATTATCACAACTGATTATATTGCGTGATATTGTGAACACTTGTACGAATATCTCTGAAGAAAATTTCAGAGTTCTGATATATTTCTTTTGATAAGAATAAATTTTATTAACCTGTTATCGAACTTGTGCATTCAATCTATTACGAACTCATACACACGCAACAATATTAAAAATAATTGCACATAAGTGAACTAAAGCTAATAATTAGAGTAAGAATATAAACAAATGCTTTGAAGAAACTGGTTTATTCGATTTATGTGCTATTATGTTTTGTATTATTATCAGTTGTTTAATTTTAAAAATGTAAACAAGTTTTTGAAGGAAAATCACAGATTCTAATTACGCCAAAGTTCAATTTTAATTGAAGTGATGCTTACCCTCGGTGAATTAATTTAATTCTTTTTAGTATTTGGCACAAAATTGCTTACAATAATTCTTAATTCACCTCGTTCAAAAACTTTTCTTCTTTTGTGAAGTTATTTACTTTATTAGAGCCTACTTGTGTTGTGGTATCTTCGTTCTGAAGCGTTGAGTCATTTAATTCACAGTAGTTGTCTTTTGATTATTTATTGAAAACAATAACAGCCTGATTAAAACAAATATGAAATATCATACGCGGCACAGTGCCGGATATATACATCTTACCATATCCTCGTTCCTGTGTTTTCTAACTGTAATTTCCCCCGCCGCAGGAAAAGCCAACATCAGTTTATCCCTTTAGGGAATTTTAGTTGGAACAACTTGCATTAGGTAAGATGTTGGAAACGTTAATAATGTTGATTCAGTACCAACTTTATTTTGCCCACCAGCGGCCGAGCGGTAAAAACACTGAACACGGCTACTTCGGTCCGAAGTTCGAGTCTCGCGAACGGGCTGCCTGCAGGGCCGTTTTTGTGGTTTTCACCATGTGTCCACCAACGTCTACAAGACAGTTTCCCTTAGAAAAAACTCTACGAAGGCGTCCCTTCCCTTAGGGCTTAGACAGATAGCCGTCGAGGTTTTGCCGTGATCACATTAACTAAACCAACTTTATCTTGGGATATTTCTCTTCGAAGACATTTAAATTCCAAAATTTATCGCATCCACGTGTTGCGAATATGATTTGGTTTTGTATGATGTAGTTTTATATGAATGAACAATTAATTAACAATTTTATTAGTTTTTTTATACAATTTTTTTATAATGAATGGGATCTTGATTATGCGGATCAATGGCTGGTACGTATTCGGCTGTTGTTCTCCATTTGACTTCTTAGTCAGCTTAGACCCCTTTTAAAACTCTCAGGGAGTCTGTACCGATCCTCGTTGAGAACACCTGATCTAAAACTTTAACACACATGGCAGCATAAGAAAATCAATTCAATTTATTTTATTCTACAGATGAACTACCAAGACATAATCAGCTTCAGAGATCTGGGTTTTGACAATATACAGTGCTTCCTCTCAAGTATCTCTAAATATGTGCCTCTGCGAATGGACAAGGATAACAGTAAGTACCACTTTTAAATTTCAGAATAAATTTATCGCCTATTTCGTGCTTTGTTATTAAGATATTTATACGAGTAAAATGAATATATTCACTAAAGCATTTGTTCTCTGACATACATAGCTAGATTAGTAGGGGGTCCGCCCCGGTCGGCAGAATTTTAAAGGCGGACTTTGTTGCTTGAAACGATATTTTATCGGAGTTAGGTGGATCTTCGAGGCAGGTGAAGAATAATTAGATTTTATTTTGCCCTAGGAAATTAAACTGAGAAGGGAAAAAAAAAGTTTTTCTCTTGATAAAATATTAAAAATGTCACTATGTGATTTCAACACTTACATACTTTTGTTGTACCGTCGAAACTTTTGAATTATTTTTTACCGTTCTTGTTCCGTCGAAACTTTTGAATGCGAATTACGAATATCAATAAAATTCTGACCAGGATGACATTCATAAGGAAGAATTCCTCGTTAAGGAAGAAGTATTTCAGAATTTTAGTTCGGTCATTTTTAGGGAATTGAAACAGAGACTTAGAAGAGCACTTCTTTTGAACTTTCGCAGTTTATTCTGAAATGCATGGTTATTCAAAACAGATGGACCCAATTCAATTACTGTGTATTTCAAGAAGTCTAAATTGGATATGAACAGTCCACATACCGAATAAAAGCGGAAGTTCTAAAGTTTTGTTTACCACAGCTGAGGCGGTGACCAGTTGAGCAAACGGCCAATGGGTACTCGTGCCTTGGTAGCATTAGGTTTCCTACTTTCTCGAGTTGTCAAGAAGTGTGTCGGCAGTTACAGAGAAGCGGGTATTTCGTCTTCGATTCGGTGTTAACCCACCAACCAGAAAAAGTATCAAACGTTGGTCGACGTAATTTCAAGAAATTGGATGTCTCGGCAAAGGAAAACGCCCGTGCCGACCACGTGTGTCAAAGGATGATTTTATATGAATAGAAAACAGTTTTATGTCGTAGTGCAAGAAAGTCAACTAATAGAACTACTACAGAACTAGGAATACCTCAACCAAGTATATGGCGTGCTTTGAGATGGCGTTTGCTGTACAAGCCCTACAGCTTACAACTTGTGCAATTCACACTGAGAATGACAGAGAAGAGTATTGAATTTGCGGTGATATGCTAGAAATGATATAGGGTGACGCGTTTTAACCGCGTTTATTTTTAGCAAAGAAGCTACGTTCTATCTTAGTGGTGACATAAGTGAATTGACATAATCTTCGCATATGGGGTCTGCACAATCCCCGTCCAGCATATGTCCAGCACAACATGATAGATACTCAGAGAAGCTAAACGTTTTCTGTGCCGTATCACGGATAAAAGTGTATGGACCATTCTTCTTTGGCGAAAGCACTCCAAGTATCCAACGTATCTGGATATGATGGAACAATGCCTTTTTCCTCAAACTAACGAAGATTCACATGACTTCAATTTCCAATAGGATGGATCTTCGTTCCATTGGCACACTGATGCCCGAAGATTTTTAAATCAATCCCTTCCTGGGATTCGAACCCATGTCCTTTGCTATGGGAGCAGTGTCACTAAACACTTTTCCGTCCGGCGGCTATTTTACGACATGCTAATTGCCTTTCTGCCTAATTTAAAATTCTGCATTTGTATGTTCTTTTCCAGTGAAATAGGTATGCCCTCCGAGTACTAAGATTACGGTTTTAGCATCGGTCAAAGAATTTCCAGACATGAGTGGACTGCCGCATTAAAGATATGATAAACAGTTCATAAACAATTTTTTGCATTTTCTTAAAAAAATTCTGTGCATATTCTTATTTATATCTTTCTTGATATATATTTATATGTTTCTTGACATATATTTATATTAAATTAGTAATAACATTTTTTTAAAATTAGTAATAATATTTATATTAAATTAATTAAATTCCATTGCTGTTTTGAATGATATTTTTTCTCATGGTTTATTGATATCAAAATAGCTGTGAACTAACATGATCATATTCAGCGGCTAATATGTAATGTAAATCAAAACCTTGAGAATTTAACTCAGTAAACATGTTTTAGTAAAAATCTGCAAAATTTATTTCTTAATGAACTCTCTGTATAAGAAGATCTAATTAGTAAGTTTAATATTCAATAAGTATTTAATCTTCTATCGAAACACAGATTTCTAAAACTAGCTCTCAAACAATTCGTAAATATTGTTTGGGTTAAGCCATTTGATGAAGCGAAATGAAAAGCATATGAATTTCAGGAACGGTATAAATATGGAATTTTATTGCAAAAAATTTTTGAAGTTTAATATAATTTTGAAGTTTAATAATAATAAATATAAATTTGAATCTAGTTCTTATATCTTTTTGAGCTTTCTTGTTTCCTGCACTGAAAATAAGATTTTTAATTGGATTGCATACTGCTATATTTGTATTGACGTTGATTAGAACTATTCTAAAAATTAGGTTTTATTAATCTATAAGTTGTTCAGTTTTAATTAGCAGTCTGAACATCAGTGTGATCTTAATGTCTCGCATAGTATAAGATATATGCAGTGATACTGATTTCGCTGTAGCATTAATCAGATACTTTATTACCATACAGATGAAACATTTTCGCGGTACCATTTGTCTCATGAAAATTCAATTTTTTAAGCTAATTTTCTGAATGAAAAAGAAAATTGTGATCTGCGGCATCACAAACATAAATTTGCAAATTAGTAACTACTAAATGACGTCTATTTCCTCAAATTGTTACTTAAGTGTTCTTAAACTGTTTTTGCAGAGGGTGTTTACACATTTTTAGAACGATTTCGGGGCCATTTAATTAATGCTTAAAAAATAGCATATTTTTTAAATATTCGATCTTATAGACTTTTTTTTGAACTATAAATCTGCATCGTCATTTCCATGATAGAAGAGATTTTCATAAAATTTCCAGAGTTATTAGTTTCCCTTCCTCTTCCACGTCTTTCCTGAGCCCAACCATCGTGGTGGGTTTGCACTTAAAAAGTTTTCTTTTCAAGAGACGACACAATAATCCGTAGGTGAAACGTCAAAGGACTTTTCATACAAATTATCTTATGTTGAGCCACATGACTCGGCAAAAGCTGGTGAACATTATGTTTTTTAGCTTTTTTAAATTGTAAATCTTATTTTGTTTATTGTTGCTACAGCTATATTTAATATATTTAAAGACTTTGCAACTGATTTTTCTCTCATTACCAATGATTTAACTTTAGAGACGTTAAAAACGGTTCGAAATGTTTTCTGGTATTCCTTTGGTCTCTTCTTTCTTTCTATGTAGACGCAACGATTGACGATTTTTTTCCCTTTTCATAATTTTTCTTATTTTTCACTTAAAAATTTAAATACTATGCATTTCACAACGTTTTCGAAATATGGAATGGGAATATTTCTCTTCAAAAAGTGCAAAAATACATACTTTTTATTCCACAGCTTGTTTACATGCGGTATTTTGAAAGGACAACAAATTTAAAAGTTGCAGACGATATTTCTCATTTCAAATAATAAGTTTGTTGACAAAAATTATTATCCTAAAACATTTGCTTTCTTTCTATTATCGAAATTGTTCTAAAATTGTGTAAATATCTTCTGTAATTGTGAAATATTTTTTTTTTTTTTTTTTTTTTTTTTTTTTAAATGCTGTTTTAAATGTTCTTAAAAATTTTCCTTAATTACATTTTAGTTTGCAAATCTTCCTATGTTTATTTTGTTACCGATGCTGCACCTGAAATTTTTGGAGAGGAGGTAAGTACATCTAAATTTTTATTGAAATACTTATTTATATTTATTTTTAAAATTAAAGTTCAGAAATTTCCAATTGAAGATAATGAATTAAAATCGCCCAGTATGGATTGAAAATTCTTTGATTGCTCCTTATCTCACGCGTTCTTGTTTCGAAAATTCTTTTTATGATTTTTATTTTTATTTTAGAGTCACTTCGAAGCACATATCTTGATAATTAATTAAAATTTGTAAAAATTTAAAAATTTATTTTATTGCACTTCCAAAACATTTTAAAGAATAATTTTTATTTTGCAACTTTCTTTTAATTATTATTTCAATAATTCCCAATCATCCAGATATAATTCAGAAACGTGTCTCTGTTGAAAATTCTTCGGCTGCTCCTTGAAATAATAATAATGTGTCTAAATACCTATATTAGAACAATGTTATATACAAATCTAATACATATTCTAAGTCGCGCTTTCGAGACATGAAAAACGCTAGTTGAATTTCGTCAATTGGCCCAGTAAAACGCAAGATATAGAACTTTTTTTTCCCTTGCGCAGTGTAAATAAATAATTTTAGTGTATTTTCTCCCTTATACATATTTTGTATTATTTCTTCCTTATTGCATGATACGGCTCATTCATTAAACAATTAATTACAACTGTATTAATAATATTTTTATAGTCAATGGGATCTTGATTCTGCCGAACAACGGCCGGTGCATATTCGGCAGTGGACCCACAGTTCATCCCTTGATGTTCAATGACCTCCTTTTAAAATTTCATCGATTTCTAGAGGGGTTCAATAACCGACTTCATTGAGAACTGCTGCTGTAGACATGGCAGAACCGTTCAACTGATATCAGATTAGAACAATCCAAACTTAACTCATGAATTATCACCTACAAAAAATTTTTGTAGAGGCTGATAGAGCTCTATCTAAATTTATACAGAGCTCTGTTGAAAGAGAAAGAGTTCTTTTAGCTTCTATATAAACTTCAGTAAGAGGTCTCCTATTGGTTTTCCAAATGAAGTTCGTGAAAGACAGACAGGGTGTGAAGAGAAAGGTTAACTTAGAGCGAAGTATCCTAGGAAGATCAAACAATGCGCTTACTCGAGCTTGAACTCTGGTTCTAACAGTGACTAACTAGTGCTTTAGTGCTTTTGCCATCATATATTTTAAAAAACTTAAAGTTTTGTTATTTTGTTAATAAAACCATCGATGACTTTATAGAGGTTTACGTTATTGTTTGAGCTGCTGCTACGTAGCCTCAACAAAAAAGATTTCTTAAATGCAGAATAAACATTTGTAACTCATAAATATTCCTAAATGAAAGCTCTTCTCACAACTAACAACAGTTATAGCAGTTCTGAGGAAAGTTCGCAGTAGTACTACAATTATTTCACACGTTATTATGGAGATTGTATTTTAGAATAAATTGTGAAAGATTAAAAGGATGCCCTTCCACGTTCCTGTTTCGTTTTCCCTAGCAATAACGGATTAAATAAAACTCTGAACACTTCTTTCTTAAATAGGTTTGATTTGGTGGCAAAGCAGTCGATGTCTGTCTAAGGGAAGAGATACCTTCGTGGAGGACTTCTCTTAAATAGGAATTCTTCCTTATTAAAGTCACCGTGATCATAATTTAGTCGACATTAGTAATTTTCATTCAAAATTTTTGATGAAATAAAATATAGTAAGAGTATGCCGCTATTGAAATTTAGTGGTGACTTCTTTAAATATTTTGTCTAGAGTAAAATCTATTCTTTTTTTTTCTCAATTTAATTCCGTACGGTAATTCAGAATCTCATTAGCCTTCATTTTCCTCGATGATCGAAGCGAATATCCCCTATAAAATAATGTTTCACGCGAAAAATATTACCCCCAAAAATTTGCTGCCTGATTAGGTTCGCCTCCTCTCTAGTTACACCATGGCTTTCCGAAATGCTGAAACCTTCCTTATACCATAAAAGTAAATGTTTCAATTTCTAACGTTCTTGCCTGCGTGAAGACACCTGAAATAGTCTACAGAAATCCTAGGTGAAAAATCATAATTTCGGAATGAGTTACGCCGAACAATTCTAGTTTAGACATCTTTCCTCAAAAGATGACAGCTAGAAAATTCGACTAGAAATTCCTATAGAGCTTTATAGAAATTCATATAGAGCCTTTATAAAAAGCCTATATATCTATCAACCTCTATAAAAACTTTCTGTAGTTTATAAAATCTTCTGTATAATTCATGAGTTAACTTGGATTCTTCTAATAAAAGATTACTAGGTTAGAATTAAGTTTAACCCTTTGTATTTCTTCCCTCCCGGAAAAAAAAAAAAAAAAAAAAAAAAAAAAAAAAAAAAAAAAAAAAACTGTAGTCAGTTGTAGACACATTAGGTAATTTGGAAGCAGGAAAGATGAAAAATGAGCAACCACCTTGGCCGGGAATCGAACCACGGACCTCTGCAATACCGGCCCAGCATGCAGAACCACTACACCACGAAGGCACGCTAGGAAGGCGGGGAAGAGCTACCTTACATGTTTCCTATTTATGTGGTACAAAATTTGAACCCCTACTATAGAAACTTTTCTTTTTATCGTTCAGGCAGTGTTCAGCATTGCAAACTTTGCCTTGCCATTTTGTGCGAAAAGGTTTAGTTTTTGTACTGCACAAACCCCATTGCAAAGATCTCCCATATGTTGAGACATGTGCTCCTTCTTGTTGGCGAATCTGAGATGGAACGAAATATTTGTATTTTCTGTCACGTGTATCGATACCTTCGCCTTTTTTGCCAACGTTTTTCACGTTTTTCACAGTGCTATCAAACCTCACGCTACAGAAATTCGAAAATCTTTCAGTCGTAAGAAATGGTCTTCACTCCTCGTAGATAACAAAATGTTGTAACTGTCATCTCAACAAAGTATAACAAAATATCAAAATACACGAAGCCACCTACGTTGAGAAAATAGTTTACCAGACATTTCACAAAAGATATTGAAATTTGATTGCACAATATACGCAAAAAGCGAGGTTATAGCATTCTACAAGTGGTATCAAACCAAGAAAATGCCCATACTGATAAAACTTTGTATTTTATCATTAAATTTCCGCTACGTGTCAAAAGATGCGATACTGAAGTGTTATTCCGGTGAACTACTACTTAAGCAGTACTTCCTAGAGCAAATACAAAGTTCATTATAGAGTCTTAGAGTGATGGTACATGAAATGTGCCCCTCGTAGGAGGTATTGGATGGTGAAAAGAAGAGAAGAGCCGCTTTGATTCTATAGCAGCTAGAGTCGTCTCGCGTCTGGTGCCATCTATAGCACTAAGAGAAAATCCATGTAGGCGGCGGGGAAGATAAGTATTCCCAACTGTGAGAGTAGCGCCAGCTTCCAGATGACGGTGTCCAATCCAGGCAGCAGGAAAGGAAAATATACAATATTTTAAGAATTCACATCATGCAACATAATAGGCAATTGGGTTATGGTAGTTGAGGAGTGAAACTGCATGTCAAGTGACAAATCCTTCTTGCCGCAGAAGATGTACAGCATATGTACGAATGAAAAATATTGTCGACTAAGATACCATAATTTAATTATCATGACTTAATATCATAATTTCCTTCATCATGTCAGCTTTCAAATTATGGTGCAAATATTCCATTTCCTATAAAGTAAGGGCACCAGTGATAATCCGTAACAACTTGTTTCGCAGGACTTGCAATTTCTTCAGTTCATTTTCTTTCGCCCTTTCACAGACTGGTGACGCGTTGAGTAAATATCGGGCGTCTTATAAAGACGTAACTTATGGGCAAGATTGAGTCCTCAGTCACTTGAGTGTAATGGGAAAAGTTTGCAAGTGATACCATATGACTTTCCACGTACATTGAAGATCAGGTGAAAGACTTGTTGAACCAAACTCCTAAGCATTTATCCAAATCTACAAGCAGAATATGCTTTCGAAAGAGAGTCTTTTTGCAATTTAGTTCATTTTGAACTTTATACTTTCTAATAACTAAGATTTGGGATTTTTCGACGTTGATTTAAATCATTCATTTTTGGAACCATTTTTCAGTCTCCGGAATCTAGTCCTGAATCCTTTTAAGAGAGTAATTTGGCTTTCTCCTTGGAGAACACCAGCATACACTGTGTGTGGGAAAGAGATGTAATCGCCTTAAGACTGAGAAAGACCTGTTGTGAAGAAATGATGCAATGATTGGAACCAGTATCCGCGCAAGATCCATCTGTACAAGGTAATAAATAAGTCCTTTATTTCAGACGCGGTCAAAGGCCACATCTTAGCATAAGGTTTAGCCACATTTCAGCATAAGGATAGCTGCACTAGATTTATTGTGCAATGCTGCTGCCAAAAGATTGCTTCCTTTGTTACCTATTTATGCATGCGCAGACTTTGTGTGTCTCCCAGTAGAAATGTTTAGCAAATTCTCTGCGATATATTCCCATCAGAATGCAAGACAACTTTCCCTGACCAATCACTACACTGAGGTTCGTGAGCAACCAGTGGCAACGCGACTACTCCTGCACTGACTGCAGATGTTTTGAACTGGAATCACAGCTACAGTAGCTGTGATTACGTGACGTAGATGAAATTCTAAGACTTCAACTTTCCTTAATGCCTTTTCTTAATGTCTTAGGCTTTTTCTCATACCACTTACTCTTAGGAGAAATTTCGAGTCAGGAAAAAATCTATTCTGCGATCGCTGCGATATTTATCTCTGAAAGCCACAAAATAGCAAGCAATTCATTTGATAATCGCATGATTAGATTTCAGTGTTACACCACTGGAAGCGAAAGGGTGGATCAATATAAACCTTTTCAGTACATAAAAACCTAACTGAAGCCAATATTTACGATTTTATTTTATTTTCACAGAAAAACTGTTCTTTACTATCTTGTCTTATATTTTCAAACTGTCTTTTACAGACTCTTCCGCATGATATTGTTCCTCCAGATTCAGAATTCTCGTTACAAGAACTTCCATCTAACATAGATTATTCAAAGTATTTTGCAGTATATCTCTCGCAGGTATATAGCCCCGAAGATTTTTACATTCAAATAGTAGGACGAGATACAACTGATGCCGTGGAAATTGTTCAGGATAAATTACAGTAAGTTTAAATAGTTAACGTGATTTTTATTATCTATTGTAGCACTAATTAAATCATATTGACTCGAAGGTAAGATTTATATATATATATCGAAATATATACAGAGTGTTCCGTAAAATTTGGGACAAACTTATGGGGGAAGGTAGGGCACATCATAAGGATTGAGAATTGAATAGGAACCCATCCCCGGAAATGTCAGGGATAAGTGGTAGCAGAGGCAGAAGATGGGAAAGGAAACAAGAGACTGATTAATTTGAAACATTTATTGGACATGAATACAAATGGTGCACGACAGCTTAAAGGTTACAACAGATGTTCGATGTTTGCATCATCAGACGCCAAACATGCCTGAATCGACGAACCATTGATTGTCGGACATGTTCAAACACACCGTTAGTTTTTTTTTTTTATGTAACAGCTGCACAGGCAAATCTTGCCACGAGATCCATTCATCGGTCAGTTCATTGACAACAATGCTCGTTTCAGCACTCTTTTCGAAGCTCTATTCAATCAGTGTGCCCACTTGGGCACACCCACAGAATTAAAACGATAAGTGCTATCTCACAAAATTTTTTGTACTCCTCTAGGCCTAGTAGACTGCCTACTTTTTTTTTTTTTTTTTTTTTTTTTAATCAAAACCCCCGACTTTAAAAGGTAGCGTGCCAGAAAGGTTAAACATTTCGCACTCTGTGCATGTCCAGAGGGGAATTTGGCGCAATTTAAAAGAGGATAAATACGATATATTGTTGATTTCCTGTTATCTGGGAGAGCAGTTTGGGTTTTAAAACTTGAGTTTGTAGTTTCATTACTTAGAGCGGAAATACCGATTGTAAATGAGCAAATTTTCGTTAAGAAGGATTACAAAAAGGAACATTGCAAAATATATTAGCTGATATTTATTGATTATACTTCGGAGGAATAAAGCGATCGAGTATTTGCCTACGTTTCATTCGCCATTTAACAAATTAAGGAATAAATCCAGTTTAAATCACTGAAATAAAGTTAAAGAAATTTTTAACTAACTGATATTAAATGTAATGTTTATTGACAAAATAAACCAAACTGAAATGAAACAGAAGCAAATGCAATAAACAGAAACAAATTTCCATAGTATTGTAAACAGTCGATAAGATCTACATGATGAACAGACTTACACAAGGTTGCTTATGCTTATGTCTCCAGTATTTATTTCCTTCCAGGCCAATTACGTCTCTGAGCATGCGCACTAAGCGGAATTCGTTAACATTGATCAACTCAATATGCGGTTTGCCATTACGCGAACCGGCAGGCCGCATTAAAAGATACATTTCGTTATTTGTCCTAAATGATCTTCTTCTTTTCTTTTCTTTTTTTTCTTTTTTTTTAATTTGACATTATTGAAACATGAATATTTTCGTCATTTAAAACAGTTCTGTAACTGGAAGCATACGACCAACGATTGCGGAAATAAAGACCGGGTAAGGACTTTTAAGCGAGTAAAAGGTGTGTGCTATATATATATTTATATAGAGAAAGAGAAAGAGAGAGAGTTTTAATACTACCAATTGCAACAGAAAAGAAATTTGCACAACTAGTTTTGTAGCAGCCTCATGTACTAAATTTCAACGTTCGACGATAATCATTTTTGAGTTATACGTACTCACGCAGGTACGTACAGTCATCACGAAAAAATCCATTTTTACAATCCATTTCGAAATTAAGAGTCCTTTATTCTGTCCGTACTTACATCAGGCAAAAGAAGAATAAGAATGTATTCGGAAAGGGTCAAAATGGATATTTCCTTTGAAATCTGAGAACCGAAATGTTTAGCGATTACAATAATTCCTTTATTTAGTTCAAGGAAATAAAAAGTGATCGTCAAGTTATACAAAATATCAAGTAATCGGGAGTCATGTTTGCCAGACTTCACTTCATTAGAAAACTAATTTATTACTAATCTTTTTAAATTTTTTATATTAAACAAAAACATACCTACTTTTTTAAATTTAAAGAATATTACTTTAGGCAGTTTATCTTGGCGAGCACTTTCAATGTACCTAAATCATATACCATATGAGGTTTATTTCATGCACAAGCTGTTTTTCTTTGCTAGGAAGCGCTGTCAAACATGCTGGTTTATTCATTCAGAAGTCAAACAACAAAAATCAGCGTTATACCTACAAAATTTTCACAGGACTAGTTTCGATGGTTTTACCGAACCATCATCTTCAGCTGCAAAACCGCAAATGAACAAATGAAAAATTTTTGTTGTTTGACTTCTGAATTAGTATTTATTCGGCGTGTTATTGTGTCTTAATGCTGGTTTATCTTACATGTGTATCTTACATATAAGGTATTATACAGTGAAACCTCGTTACAACAATATTTTAGGAACCAAATAAATATATTGTAGAGAGCATAATGTTATATCGAGGGCCACCTATTTTAGCATTTAATAAGAGATTTTTTTTTATTTTATTAGTTAAGGTGCATAACATACTTTTTACGTTATATTTAGAAAAATTAATGTAAAATACTGTAATGTGGTTTAAATACTAAAAAAATAAATAAATGATAAATTCAGAAAATAAGCACAGAAAATCACATACTGAAAACACTTTTTATTGAAAATATTCAATATTTTTGTTTGTTTATTGATTTTTTTAACTGTTAAGTTCACCATACTGTATGCATTCGAGTCTAGTGACACGAAAATGTTCTTCATTTGTCGACGGAAGGCTTGAAAAAAAAGTCCGTAGAAATTCCGATTGAAGAGCTTCCGGATGACAAAAGAGCGATGGACCTGTATCATCATCATCATCATCATCATTGTTTCCTATCTCATCAGTCATTTCTGAGAGAATATCTTCATCAGTAACTCCTGCGAAAACCATAAGATCATCATCTGCTTTAAATAGTCTTCATACTAATTCCAAACTTTTACCGCTTTTTCCTCAAGTTGGGATAAGGATTTTTGATGTGGCAAAACACATTCTTGATCATCGAGAGATCATTGTCTATGGAATTTCATCATTTATCAGATTTCTTACTTCCATAACACAAAGACCGGCCTTTTCCAGCATTCCGAATGGTTTTTTCTTACTTCCCATCAACTTCCAGTAATATTGTCACACGCTTCCTTGACTTTCAGCTTTGAAGGGTCTTCTACTTTATTTTCAATTACAAGTATGGAGTCCCACAACCGTTTTCTGTAATTCCTTTGAAGCAACTTAATTATGCCCATATCAAGAGCTGTAAAATTGAAGGCAATTGGCAGGCAAAAAAGCGATTTCGATATTTGTAGCTTTGGAAAGACGTGTGAGCACCGCAGTTATCTATCAACAAACGATTTTTTCTTTCTCTTCTTCATTTCTTGTCTAACTTCTGTAAACCATTCGAAAAAACTTTAGACATCATCCAACATTTTGCTTTTATACTCCACGAAGACTTTCACGTTCTTAAAGCACCTTGGCTTCAGATTTACCAATGACGAGAAGTTGTATTCTATGCGTTTGTGCTTTTGTACCAAAAAAACATCAGTCTATGCTTGATTTCTTCTCCATAACACTTTTCACCTTGAATGCCAATGTTCGATCGGGAGGAGTTGGAAAAACAGCCCAGCTTCATCTGATTATATGTCTTCGTACTTTTATAAGATTTTTTCATCTGTTTTGCCGCATTCATTTGCGTGTTATTGGGGCGACTTTTTCTCTCCGTAACTTCTTGGAAAGTTATTCAATGACGACTCGAAAACGATTAACAACCATTGCTAGCTTTGAAAGTTTCGTTCAATAGCATTGCTGAAAATTTCCGTGCTTTGCACATAATAAAGGTCCATTATTGGACATTTGTTGCTCTCATATCTTAAACCATTTTAAAACAGCAGCATCAATTTTCATTTGTGGAATTTCAGTCGTTTTCGCTCTGGGTTAATTTCATTTGAAGTTACAGATCTTCGATTGCTTTCTCTTCTTTAGGAACGTTGCAACTTAGATGCGTAATCCGTTTCTTAGCCGCATTAATCTGCTTAATCCCTTATCAATATCATTCATAACGTTCAGTTATCTCGAAAGATATTGCTTTCGCCGCCATCTTAGGGAACAATATCGCGTGAAGAAAAAAAGTTTAAACCAAATGTTTCGCGTAGAACTCAACATTGTTAAGACTATAAAAACAACCTTTGAACTCATTTTCAGTACGTCACTTACAACACCCCGCCTCCATCTCCCTGTTCCTCTAACAAAGGGCACTTGTTCTGAAAGGTGACCAACAGGTTAGATGTCCTTAAACCTTATCAGAATTCCAAAGCTTACTGGGAAATGAAACTAGACATACATTTCACTTACCCCCCTCACCCACTCCGATTCCCAAAAGGGTGTCTTCATCTGTTTTGAAATCTGAACAATATCTATTATTCAGGGATAAGTTGAAATCCATATCTCTTAATAGACGGAAAAAATAACAAAAAAAAAAAAAAAAAAAAAAAAAAAAAAAAACGGGAAAAAAAAAAAAAAAAAAAAAAAAAAAAACGCATTTGAAAATCAAAATATTATAAAGGAGAATAATACTGGAAATTAGATGAAATCGTTTACGAGGTTATTGTTCTAGGAATATAGCAATATTGAGGGCGAAACACTAGTTTATTGCAAATCCGGGACAAAACATTACTGTAGTAGAGGGGTTATTGTTTATCGGGTCTGTTGTAGCGAGAGTTTATATATAAGATTTTTCAAGCATCGTAAATATTTAGCCATCCAAATTCCTGCTCTTGAATTTATTACACATATATAGCGAGCCCTCTTACTCGCTTAGGAATCCTGAGCCGGCCTTTATGTTCGCGATCATTAGTCGTAGTTATATGCTTCTAGTTACTGAAATATTTTAAATGACGAAAACACTCATGGTTTAGCAATGTCAGATAAAAAAAATATTAACTTTGGGCAAATAACGAAATTTAACTTTTAATGCAATTTCACGATTCCTGTGTTTAAATTTGGGAAAATTTTATACTCGTTATGAAAAAATAAAATTATGAGAAGTTTGACTTCGTACGACAAAAATTTCAAAATTTGGAGTTTTTGATGACATTTTGAACTTGCCTCGAGGGGTCGATTAATTAAACTAGAATAATTCTAGGTAATAAGTCTGAATGAAGTGCAGCAAAAATTGTACAATTTAATAGGCCGTACAAGATAATCATATGGCGTCCACATCAGACTTTTTTAAATTATTTTCGAACCAAAAATTAATTTTTATTACTATTATAGAAGAAAGGGTTAAAAATAAATCATCATATTTCAAGTTGCAATTTTTTCTTTTATTTAATATCTTTCAGTGATACTACTTTATAATTTACTAGGGTGATTATGTTGTTTTTAAATTTAAAAATCTGTTTTATAAAATGTATTTGCTAATCTCTTTTTTTTTTCAGTCTACTAGTTCTTAAAACTTTACTTAACAGAATTTTATAATCATTCTAAAAACGAAAATAACGAAGACTGATTTCCGTGCCACAAAAATAAGCCAAGATTTTAATTTCAACATCTCAGATTTTTGCTTCCTTCTACGAAATACTGCAAGTATTGTAATCGTAAAAAAATTTTGGGTATGAGATTTCAACGGGAATATTCATTTTGATCGTTCACGAATTCATTTTGATTATTTTTTGCTTAACGTTTATACGTAAAGGCAGGATAAAAGACTTTTTTTCTAAACGGATTTTAAAATGGATTTAAACAGATTCAAAATTAATTTTTTTGCTTGACGTACGTACATATATACGCATGTATATATCTTGCATTATTCAAAAACAGTTAGCCTTAGAATGTTGAAATTTGGTACATGGAAGTGATTTGTAATATCTAGTTATGTACCTTCTTTTTTATTGTAATCGGCAGTATCGGAAGTATATATATATATACTTTCGATACTGCCGACTGCAATAAAAAGGAGGTGCATTTTTAGCTTATTTATATATTTCCATATATATATATATATATGTAAGAAAAATAAAGGATATGTAAAAGATTAAATTAGCAACGTAAACTTCTCTTCTCTATTCTAAAAATAATAACCCCTCCCTGCTCTGCGTCATTTCGAGACTATTCTATGTCATATGATTTTTATGTAATTATGATGATGTAAATGGAACTAAAACTCAACCAGCCAATAGTAATTTTACGCATATTAAATGTCGAATCAAATGCTTTGAAACCAAACAAACTCGTTTGATTGAGATTTAATCCTGAACTTCGGCTTTGCTTTCCACGCTTTGGCCTAGCTACATGATGCTGTCTGTTGCTGCTTTATAGCACAAGTTAGAAAAATTAAGCCTTGCAACAGGAACTTTAGGTGCCGATTTGGTGTAGCCCAACATCTTGCTGAAATAAACTGAAGATTATCTCTCGCCCCAATTTCTATCTACCATCCAAATTCCTGCTCTGAATTTATACAATATATCGCGAGCCCTCTTACTCGCTAGGAATCCTGAGCCGGCCCTTTAGGTCGCGATCATTAGTCGTAGTTATATGCTTTAGTTATGAAACATTTTAAAGGACGAAAACACTCATGTTAGACAATGTCGATAAAAAAAAAATATTAACTTTGGGCAAATAACGAAATTTAACTTTAATGCAATTTCACGATTCCTTGCGTTTTTTAAATTGGGGAAAATTCTATACTCGTTATGAAAACAATAAAATTATGAGAAGTTCGGAAGTTGACTGCCGTACGACAAAAAATTTCAAATTTGGAGTTTTGATGACATTTGAAACTTGCTCGAGGGGTCGATTAATAAACTAGAATAATTCTAGGGTATAAGTCTGAATGAGTGCAGCCAAAAAAAATTGTACATTTAATAGGCCGTACAAGATAATCATTATGGCGTCCACATCAGACTTTTTAGAATTATGTTCGACCAAAATGTAATTTTTATTTACTCTTATAGAAGAAAGGGTAAAATAATATCTTATTTCAGTTGCAATTTTTTCTTTTATTTAATATCTTTCAGTGATACTACTTTATAATTTACTAGGGTGTGAATAATATATAACTTTGTTACATTTGGTATTCCGAAAGCAAGTTTGTGTAAATAATTTAGAAGCTTTCTTGTGCAAAAAATACATTAATAATGCAGAGATGTGTAACTTTTTATCTTTAACTAATTTCAATTAGTTATTATGTAGGTAACCCTCTTATAATCTGTCTAATACAATCAGAAAATTGTCCTCGTATATCAGACCAACACAGTTTCATTCTAGTGCTTTAATGGATATGCGTAATTCACCTTATAACACTTTATGCATACATACTTCGATAACACGATTTTTATTCTAAATACTTACAAAATTAAGTTAGATATAAGTTTACAACATATCTTCTCTTATGATCCCTAACGCATCCGTTTATTTTCCCCTTCGGAATTAATGTCAATGTCCCCTTCTTGACCGCATTTGAAAACGCCACCAATACCATTGCGTTACCTATTTATATATGCATGCAAAAATAAAAGACAACACCAAGCAACACCGCCGCAAACAGTTGCTGCTAGAATGAATGGTCATTATAACGAGAGTCGAATGTATTCAAGAGAAGAAAGCTTGTAATTTTCTTTTTCAGTGATCCTGTTTTATATGCAAATGTAATATATACTTCAAAATGTATTGCAGCAAATTCTGTCGCGGACCCTGGAGCTACAATTATAAAATGAGAAATGCTCACATAAAGGTGGGAGCAATATGTGCTGCTTTATTTACAGATAATTTTTGGTACAGAGTAAAAATTGTGTCTATACCTTCAATGGAAATGGTGGAGGTAAGTCATTTATTGTAATTTGAATGTTTTGTAATCTAACCCTTAGATTCTGAAGCATCTTATATTGTTAGGACGCTCTCTTAATTTTAATATCATAAATAAGAAAAGGAGATTTGCTAAAATTTATCTAAAAAATGCCTCACGCATTTCGCCCTACTTAGCCAATTTTATCGTCCGAAAATCGAAAAGGGAAAATTATACGTATAATTTAATTTCCGAAGTTGCGGTTACAGTGAGTATTTAAAAAAGGAAAGTAGTCGTGGATAAACTACTGGTGACTATCACAATATTACTTCTTAGGGGAAAAAAAAAAAAAAAAAAAAAAGACAT